AGAGCGGAGGCAGGGCCAAGAGGCCAGAGTCCGCCCGGCGGCAGCGGCCGCGGCAGGGACCCCTCCGCCGAAGACTGCTCGGAGGATCACCGAGCCGGTGGCAGCGGCGGCGTCGGCGCCGGCCGCGAGCCGATCGGCAGCAGCGCCGGCCGCAGCGGCGCGCATGCGAGAGAGCCAGCCGGTAGCATCAGGCTCCGGCGTGGCGGCTCCTTTAGGAGGAGCGAGCTCCAGTTCGGGAGCAGTGAGAGCGGCAGAGGCCGCCGAGGATGTCGACATGACCGCGACCAGGTCGCGGCTGAAGCGCTTGGCGGAGGTGGCCCCGGATGACGCGCCGGAGGCCCTCGAGCGCGGTGATCCACAGCCGGCAGACGTGCCGGTACCGGTGGACATGGAGGATCTCGCGGCGCAGCCGGCGCCAGCGGAAGGACCTCAGCTGCCAGCTGGAGTGGCAGTCGTGTGGAACGCCAGTGAGGGGAGGCACATGCGGGTGCTCGCCCTCGATATGGCGTCGATCGAGCTGGTTGAGCTCGGAGTGCTGACGAGAGCGAAGGCGGAGTTGCTTCCGCTCGTTCGCGAACAGGTCAGTGGCCATTGGGCCAGCGCCGGCGTGGACATCGCCGACGAAGAGGTGGACAGCATCGCCCTATCGGCGTTGCAGCTGGGCGCCGTGGACGTGGCCGAGGTGTACTCGCCACATCGGTTCTCGGCTCGGGCAGCGGAATTTCAGCTGCGCCCGGGCTTCGCGGCGGACCTGGAGGAACTCAAGGAGGACGGGACGCCGTGGGACTTGCGGCGCCCCGAGGATGTCAAGGAGCTCGAGAGGCAGCAGGAGCGGATGGATCCCATCCTGCTCACGGGGTCCCCTCCATGCGAGAAGTTCAGCTTGCTGAGGGGCCTGAGCGCCAAGTTCAGGACCGATGAGCAGGAGGCGGCTGAGATGGAGGAGGCCAGACACCACCTGAAGGTGGCAGTCGACGCCTACTGGCGTCAGCTCAGGAAGCCAGGCAGGTACTTCCTGCATGAGCATCCCTGGAGCGCGCGATCGTGGAAGGAGGACATCGTCAAGGAGCTGGTCGCGCATCCAGGAGTCTTCACGGTCAAAGGCCCCATGTGTCGGTGGGGCATGAAGCTCACGAACCCACGCAGTGGTCGGGAGGAGTTCGTGCGCAAGGAGACCGGATGGGTCACCAACCATCCAGGCTTAGCCCGGAGGCTGCAGGGCACTTGCAGCAATGTGGACGGCCGCGCGGAATGGCATCGCCACATCATGCTCGTGGGCGGCATCGCGCGGTTCGCGAAGGTCTATCCACCGAAGTTGGTAGAGGCGGTGCTGGAGGAGCTCAAGGACACGCTGGATGACGTGGGAGAGCTCAGCACCGCCCAGGTGCAGCAGTCGGGCCCAGTCCCTGTGGACGCGGCAGTGCCGCCCGGGGACTGGACGAGTTACTGGGACGACGTCAATGGCGGCTACCTGGAGGCGGGCCTTGTGGCCCAGGCTCGCGCGGTCGAGCGCGAGAGGGTCAAGAAGCAGGAGCTGATCGAGATCGTCCCGAGGTCTCAGGCTTTCGCCGAGACTGGGCGTCCGCCCATCCCACTCAAGTGGGTCGACACGAACAAGGGTGACGCGGAGAGGCCCAACTACAGGAGCAGGCTCGTCGTGAAGGAGATCAAGGCGAAGAAGCGCCCTGACGAGCAGCTGGAGGCGTCCGAGGTCTTCTCGGCCATGCCCCCTCTGGAGGCCATGCGGTCGCTGGTCTCGCTGATGGTCACGTGGACGCGGGAAGCACCGCTCCACATTCAGGAGTCGCTTCGCAAGAAGGGCAGGAAGCCGGGCAACTTCTAGATCGGCTTCTTCGACATCAGCAGGGCGCACTTCTACGGGAAGGCGCAGCGGAGGATCTTCGTGGAGCTGGAGGAGGAGAGTCGCAAGGAGTACGGCGAAGACAAGTGTGGCTTACTCCTCAAGTCCTGGTACGGCACGCAGGACGCCAGCAAGATCTGGCAGGGCGACTACACGGAGCTGCTGGAGGAACACGGCTACAAGGCGGGCGTGTCGTGCCCAGCGGTCTTCTTCAAGGAGGTGGACGAGACGAGGCTGCTGGGGCACGGCGACGACTTCGCGGTGCTGGCTCAGCAGCAGGACATCGACAGCTTTGAGGCCACGCTGGGCAAGAAGTACGAGTTCAAGAAGACTGCGAACCTAGGCTTCGACGAGGGCGATGACAAGCAGGCGGTCTTCCTGAATCGGGTCATCGAGGTCAGCGCGGGAGTTCCGCCTGGCGGTGGCCGGCCCTGCCGGCATGCGATGATCGAGCCGGACAAGCGGCGCGCGGAGATCGTGATCGACGAGTTGGGTCTCAGCAAGGCCAACGGCGTGGACACGCCGATGGAGAAGCGCAGCGCCGACAAGCAGATGATGGATGCGAAGTCGGCGGCGTTGGGAGCAGCGGAAGCTTCGCGCTTCCGATCCCTCACCATGAGGGTGGCCTACCTGTCTCAGGACAGGCTGGACTTGGCAGAGGCATCGAAGACGCTCGCTAGGTCCATGCAGACGCCAACGGAGGCGAGTTGGCTCATGCTCAAGAGGGTTGGCCGCTACCTCAAGCGGCATCCTAGCACGGTGACGGTTTTCACGGAGCAGAAGATGTTCGACAAGATCCGGGTGCACGTGGACTCCGATCATGCGGGCTGCGCAGTCACCCGGAAGAGCACCGGAGGCTTCGTGGCGATGCTGGGGCATCATGTCGTCAAGCATGGCAGTAATCTGCAGTCGACGGTTTCTTTGAGCAGCGGAGAGAGCGAGTACTACGCCCTGGTGAAGGGCGGGAGCGTGGGCCTGGGCCTTCACAGCCTCTTCGCGGACTGGGGGCTGGACCTGAAGGTAGAGCTCGCCTCGGATTCATCGGCGGCCCGGGGCCACGTCCAACGGCGGGGTCTCGGGAAGATGCGACATGTTCAATCACGATACTTGTGGATCCAGGAGCGCGTGGGTAAGGGCGACCTCTCGATCGCCGCGGTTCCTGGTAAGAACAATGTCGCGGACGTGCTGACCAAGAGCGTGGGTGGCTCCCTTTTGAGGAGACACATGGCGACGCTCAACATCTGGGATCGGACACCGAGTTTGACTCAGAAGGACTTCAAGTGATGGAGTGGATCGAATCCATGCTCCGCTACCTGTGGGGCTGGATGAGGTTCCGCCGGCGGCGGTATGATCGCGCCGGACGGAGTGAGGGGCTCGCGGCATGGCCGCAGCCTAGCTGATGAGATGGGCGCGTCGGCTTGGGCGCGCCCGCGTACGACGTAGGTCGTGCCTGGCCGGGTTGGCGGCCAGGCCCGAGGAGGAGTGATTCTGACACCCTCCTCCGTGCACCCATTTTGGCTCAAGATGGAAAAGAGATATCTTGTCCATCGACATACTATCTCATCAGTCCGCGTGCGCGTGCGTGTGTGCGGTTGTGCGTGTGTGCGTGTGTGCGTGCGTCCGTGTGTGCGTGTGTGCGGTTGTGTGCGGTTGTGTGTATGTGTGTGCGTATGTGCGTGTGTGCGTGTGTGCGTGTGTGTGGGTGTGTGCGGGTGTGTGTGTGTGTGTGTGGGTGTGTATGTGGGTGGGTGTGGGTAAGTGGGTGAGTGCGTGTGTGTGTGTGTGTGTGTCTGTGTGTTTGTGTGTCTGTGTGTGTTGTGTGTGTCTTATGTGTGTTGTGTGTTGTTTGTGTTGTGTGTTGTGTGTTGTCTGTTGTCTGTTGTCTGTGTTTTGTGTGCGTGTGTGAGTGTGCGTGTGTTGTGTGTGTGCGTGCGGCCGCCCTTTCTTGCCTGTGTCCCTCCGCTTGCACGCCGGCCAATTCGCTGCGCAGTGCCCCTGCATCACTGCCACGCTGGAGCGGATCGTCCCGCCTCGCTGCCGACTGAAAAAATGTGTGTGTGTGTGTGTGCGTGTTTGTGTGTGTGCGTGTGCGTGTGCATGTGTGTATGCTTGTGCGTGTGCTCGTGCGTGTGCGTGTGCGTGCGTGTGTGCGTGTGCGTGTGCGTGTGCGTGTGCGTGTGCGTGTGCGTGTGCGTGTGCGTTTGCCTGTGGGTGTGCGTGTGTGGGTGTGAGGGTGGGGGTGTGGGGGTGTGGGGGTGTGGGTGTGTGGGTGTGTGGGTGTGTGGATGTGTGGCTGCGTGGGTTCGCGTGCGCGTGGGTGCGTGCGCATGGGTACGTGCGCATGTGTGCGTGCGCTTGCGTGCGTGCGTCTGCGTGTGTGCGTGTGTGCGCGCGTGTGTGTGTGTGTGCGTGCGTGCGTGCCTGCGAACGTGCGTGCGTGCGTGCGTGCGCGCACTCGTGCGTGCGTGTGCGCGTGTGCGCGTGTGCGCGTGTGCGCGTGTGCGCGTGCGCGCGTGTGCGCGCGTGCGTGTGTGTGTGTGTTGTGTGTGTGTGTCTGTTTGTTTGTGGGTCTGTGTGTCAGTGACTCTGTCTATGTGTGTCTGTGTGTCGTGTGTCTCTGTGTGTCGTGTGTCTGTGTGTGTCTGTGTGTCTGTGTGTCTGTGTGTCTGTGTGTCTGTGTGTCTGTGTGTCTGTGTGTCTGTGTCTGTGTGTCTGTGTGTCTGTGTGTTTGTGTGTGTCGATGTGTATCTGTGTGTGTGTGTCTGTGTGTGTCTGTGTGTGTGTGTCTGTGTGCGTGTCTGTGTGTCTGTGTGTCTGTGTGTCTGCGTGTCTGTCTGTGTGTCTGTGTGTGTGTCTGTGTGTTTGTGTGTGAGCGTGTGTCTGTGTGTCTGTGTGTGTCTGTGTGTTTGTGTGTGTCAATGTGTATGTGTCTGTGTGTTTTGTGTGTATGTTTGTGTGTGTCTGTGTGTGTGTCTGTGTGTGCCTGCGTGTGTCTGTGTCTGTGCGTGTCTGTGCTTGTATATGTGTGTGTCTGTGTTTGTGTTTTGTGTGTGTTCGTGTCTGTGTGTGTCTGTGTCCGTGTCTTTGTCTGTGTATTTGTGTGCGTGTATTTGTGAGTGTGTGTGTGTGTTTGTGTGTGTTTGTGTGTGCGTTTGTGTGTGCGTTTGTGTGTTTGTGTGTGTTTGTGTGTGTGCATGTGTTTGTGTCTGTGTGTCTGTGTGTGTCTGTGTGTGTCTGGGTGTGTCTGTGTGTGTCTGTGTGTCTGTGTGTCTGTGTGTCTGTGCTTCCGTGTTTGTGTATATTTTTCTGTTTGTGTGTCTGTCGGTGTGTTTGTGTGTCTGTGTGTCTGTGTCTGTGTGTGTGTCTGTGTGTGCATGCGTTTGTGTCTCTGTGTGTGTCTGTGTGTGTCTGTGTCTGTGCCTGTGTGTGTTTTGCGTGTGTGGGTCTGTGTGTGTTTGTGTCGGTGTCTGTGTGTGTGTCTGTGTGTCTCTGTGTGTGTCTGTGTGTGTGTCTGTGTTTGTGTCTGTGTGTGTCTGTGTGTGTCTGTGTTTGTGTCTGTGTGTGTGTCTGTGTCTGTGTCTGTGTTTGTGTGTGTCTGTGTCGGTGTCTGTGTGTCTGTGTCTGTGTCTGTGTGTCTGTGTGTCTGTGCGTCTGTGTATCTGTGTGTCTATGTGTATTCGGAACCGTTTCACCGTGGCAGTGGCATCGGAGTCTAGTGTTGTGTGTCATGGTGCAGCTTCCAACTGCCGCCCGCGTCAGCAACAGCTCAAAGAGGCGAGGCACTGCGCCGAGCAGGAGCCGGGCGGAGGCCGCGCGACAGCCATCGAGCCCGAACCCCGTGGCGGCCCAGATCTCCGACGCCTCCGAGAGGTCTGGGCCCCTTCCGCGGGACCGGTGCTTCATCCCAGAGCGCCGCGCGACGGTCCCGAAGAGCCGGGCGAGGGCCTCCCCCCAGAGGCAGAGTAGGACCACAGACTTCCCGCCGCGGTTTTTGTTTTTACCTCGACGAGGCGAGGCCAGGGTACTACTACTACTACTGCTGCTGCTACTACTTCTACTACTACTACTACTACTGCTGCTGCTGCTGCTGCTGCTGCTGCTGCTACTACTACTACTACTACTACTACTACTACTACTACTACTACTACTACTACTACTACTACTACTACTACTACTACTACTACTACTACTACTACTACGACTACGACTACGACTACCACTACTACCACTACCACTACTACGACGAGGCGAGGCCAGGGGCACGCTGGCGGAGAGCTCCCCCGCAGCCGTTACGGCTCTGGCTGCCGCCCCCGGTGTTGCCCAGAATGCCGGCGCGCGCCGACGTGCCGTCGTTCGGGGCGGCGCTCGTGGCGCACCGCGGCGGTCGACCCCGCGGCCCCAGCGGGAGGCCCGTGGTGAGGCTGCACATCTACGACGTCACCAGCGAGTCGGCGGTGCAGCGGGTGAACGATGTCCTCCGCCCCGTCGGCGTGGGCATCTTCCACGTGGGGGTGGAGGTCCTGGGAGAGGACCAGAGGAGGAAGAGATAACGATGCTGCTGCTCGTCCTAGAGAGCCCTCGTCGCCATGGCTTGATTCGCTTCGAAGTTCTGGTCAGAACGCACTCCAGGAGAGGACCGGGGAGTCGCGGTATCGGTCTCACTCGGGAGGCAAGGGCGATGACGGTCCTGCGGCAGGGTTGCTTGTCGATTCCCCGGCACGATTTGTGAGATGGACCGCAAGCGGGGGGGGGGAAAAAAGAAAGAAAGAATACGTTCCCCAAGAGGAGTGGAGCTACGGGTATTCCGCCGACGAGACCGGCGTGGGGAGCTGCGCTCCCCGACGGCACAAGCAGCACCGCTACCGGGAGTCGCTGGAGATGGGGGCTTCCCCGCTGTCCAGCGAGGATTTTACGTGAGATCCGGCCCCGAACCAAACTTCCAGGTCGGTTTTGGAGGTCGCCGCGGCAATCGCGGCGGCATTCATCGGGGCAAGGTTGTCGTCAAGGAGTGGCATGCCCATTCACAGCCCCCCCCCCGCTCTGCGATGTAGACGCGGCTCATCACTAACCGTACAGGGACAAAGAGTTGCCAATCGATGTCCGACCTGGGCAGTCACGTTCCCCCAAACAGTGTCTGCACTTGGGGGCCCTTCTTTGCTTCCCTTCGAAGGAACTGGGCCCGTCTGCTGGCCCGGCGGCTCCCTTCCCATCCGTCGCCGCCGCCCCGCTGCACTTCCCCCCCGTTGCACACCCCTCGTCCCTGTTCGCACCGAAAGCTTTGCATCGCTGCCCATTGCTTCACTCTGGCCTGCATCGCACTGCCTTGCAATGCATTGGTGTGCGTCGCACTGCTGTGCGCTGGTTTGCAGTGATGTGCATCGCACTACACTGCTGTGCATTGCAGCGTATTGCTCTGCATTGCTTTGCGCCACACAGAGCGCACCACATGGATTACACCCCTAGATTGCACCACCTAGATTGCACCGCACATGCTGTAAGAACTCACTACTTGGGGTCCACGCTGTCTAACATGAGTTGGTCAGGCGTCGATTACCACGCAACTGGAGGAGATCGGGAAGTTGCTGGAGCGGATGGAGGAGGAGTGGCACGGAAAGGACTACGACCTCCTGTCGCGGAAT